AATTTGTCTGAAATAAATAATGTCCAAGAGGAAATTTCTCAAACCAGAGCAATTATTTCAAACGCCAGCCAAACGAAAAACCCAATTTTGTTTTCCACGAACTTCACGCAAATGATTCGATGGCAGAGCGCCCATTAATTCATAATGATAATTCCTATTTTCCGAGCTATTACTCTTATCATGCACAAAGCCATTATGATACATACGACGATCAGCATTTTAATACGTCAGCCGAAGAGACCAATTACGGTTGTCAAAGCGAGGAAATTCAAGATAATGATGAAATTGAAGATACTCGAAAATTTTATCGAAATAGGCCCGGAAGAAATTTGACCTTAGCCGAAATAAACGTTTTCTCTACACTGTTTGACAGTTTAGTCACTCATTTAAGAAAATGGTTTCTGAATACGGTTAGGATGAGGTGAGTCTGATTGTAGTGTGAGTGATGGTTGAGTGTCGTTCTTGAATTCGGAACTTAGAGCTTGCTAATAACAAACTCAGTTTCGAGTCGACTAGCTCTCAACAGGCTTTTACCACAGTGTACTACTTAACACAACTGATCAGAGGCAATAGGCTCGAAATCAGCACCTATTTACATTGAAAATTTATATAATGATTTAAAGAAATCGTTGCTTACCTCGTTCTACGGTTGGCGCTCGCTAAGGTATTTTTTTTCTGTGAGGTTTAGGAAATGCTGTTACGCACACCCAGAGCGGGTGTCCTGTCGCTCTGGGCTCTGTGGGTCTCCATCTAAGCGGTTTACCCACTAAAACCTTTCCTCACTGCCGAGGTGGTGTTTGGCTTAACATTTCTGTCCTATTGTGCTTCTCGCTGAGGTGTCTTTTCAGTCTTTTGTTCGTGCACAAGCAATGGGGCTGTCATGGCCTACAGAACAAACCGAAATTTAGCTACTAAACCACCAACGAAAAAATCATAGAACTCCGGTTTCATTATTGAATCGCTTTACCGCAAAAGTTATTTTAATTAGGAACGCCCACTTGTATTAAGTGACTTTGTGATTCTCTATTGCGACACAAAAAAAGTTCTTCATATTTAAACGTAGCTTTTAGTTCTGACTATCTTTTTAAATAGCAATTTTCGATACTGTCAAAAATGAAAGTACTTTATTCGCAAAAGTTTCTGAGAAAATATGGATAGTAAAGCGCAAAAAACTAAATCCCGGTTTTACCAGTTGCGGTTTATCATACAACAGATCCATCCTGTATTCAGTTGATTTTTTTTAATGTAAATATTTAAACATTTTAATATTTAATTGTTACATTATCAATGATTATGGTGAACAGCCAGCAACTTTTAGTTAACGACTGATTAAACGCCCGTAATCTTCATTAAAATTATGGTGCTACAAGCACATCAACACGAGTGGTTGATTTAATCGCCGATTAAGATTTTAATCGGAGTTTGTGGAAAGGGGCCTCAACCCACAAAACTATGTAAACGTTGATTACTTACCGGCAAAAACTTTTTCTCCGTTTCCTCCAAGTTTCCGGAAATTGGGACCATTGACATTGGTCCTCTAGGCGCTGTTGCCGAATGATTCTGCAAGAAAAAGAACATGATTGATTTTGATATAGACAAATATTTACGCGCACATAGCATGAGTTAGATTTTTTTTGGCAAAAATCGTCTTATGGTGGCACGGTGATCGGCATTTTTGTTGTCACATACCTATACTTAATCTAAAACTAAAAGCGTTGTACGTCATCAACCGTCAAACTGACCCTGTTGCCAAGTTGTCATGAAAATCTTTTGTTTTTGATAAGGGATTATTGAATTGGTTTTAGATCAATAATAATCGCTAATAGTAAAATAACAGTACAAAAAAACAGGTTTAGATCACGTTTGAAGATTTTAAAAGACTCAAAGCTAACAACTACGATTGAGGTATGGGAAAAATTAGCAAAAATAAAAGGTTAAAAATTCCTTCAAACCGAATCAAACAGTAAAGATTCGTTTATTGACGGAACATACCGGCGATTATGTCTATCTCTCTTTATTGTATTTTGCTATAAATAAAGTGAACGTGATCGTGACGTATAACGATATATAAGTAATACTTCGTTATAATTATATTAGTAATATATTTTTGTTTGTATGGTACGAAAATGATTAATTTAGAGTGTTGATGACGTGCAACGGTTTTGGTTTCAGATTAAGTATAAGCGCGTATAAACCATTGTGTTTTGGCAGACATTAAATTAGCGTGGAAATTTTTACTACGAAAACTTTGAAAGTTTAACTATTAAAAGCGTCTTACGAGCGAATCATCGATCCTGGGATTAGTCGAAAAATATCATTGCACTACAGTACTACAGTCATCTTTTCGACGACTCGCTCTTAGCAAATTAGGTGATTGGTGTGAAAGGTAAAATCAGCCGTGAAGAGGTTATGCAACCTGTTGAGTGCTACGGCAACAATGCAGTTCACTTGTGTAAAAACAATTCATCTTGTTTCATCACATCACTGTTTAGTATTGTTTAATGATTACTGTTAGTAATTTTTTTTAGATACATAGCAAACATGTAACAGAAAAACTGAATAACAATTTCATTTTCTCCAATTTAAAAGATTGCATTTTAACGTGAAATTCTAATAATATTCGACATCCTATCTCAACACAACCATTGCTTAAGAACCATCCCAGGCAAACAAATTGTGTCCATAAGTAATAATTATGCGCAGCTGTGCTATTGGTTCTGACAAGCTTCTCAAAAAATAGTTTACCTGAAGCAATTTATGGTTATTTTATCTAGCACCTGACGAACTATGAAAAATTAAGTACTGGATTAGCAAAAGACTAAACAGTTTTGGACTTAGAATCTGTGCATTTCAGAAGCAATATTGGGTCTTTTCTTTGGCCGTAGCCAAGAGCAGATTCCAATCAGATTTTATCAAAAAATTCTGATACCAAGTCCGATCCTGACCCACATCACGAAAAATCGGAAAAGAATTAGTAAAGTTATTCGGAAAAATGAAACAAAGTGGAGTAATGCCCCATGAATGGAGAACTAACATCACAATACCGACACAAACGTTACTAAGTAGTGTACTAAAACTGCTAACACACATATTATCAGACAAAATAACTGGTAAAGTAGGAATCTCCGAGGATCAGCAATGCTTCCGCTCAAATAGATCAACGATAGACGCAATATTTATATTACACCAATTGATAGAGAAGTCCAATGAATTCAATAAACCAATGTACACATGCTTTGTAGATCTAAAGCAAGCATTTCACAATGTACAACTTAAGGATGTAATTGACCGACTGAACCAAAAAGATGTTAACAAGTGCCACATAAACCTAATAAAGCAGCTTAACATAAACAATAAAACAATGATAAGAACAGAATGTGGTCTAACAAGAGAACTTAAATTCCCATCCGGCATAAGACAGGGAGATAGCCTTAGCCCATGCCTTTTTAACATCATAATGGACCAAATAATTGAAAGTGAACCAAGTCGATGAATTCAATATGAACAACCACCATAGATGAAGACAAGTATAGATAGCCCACTCACTTGCACAAAATGATAACAAGGGTTTTCACTGACACTGTCACCATCTATTGCTGTTCACAACTAACTAACGTCATTGCTGGGATGCTGGGTTTGCGTGCTTAAAACTGTGTATTCAGGATTTGCTATTGTCGGCGAGCCAATACTACAATTGAGATTAAAAGATGCTTAATATTCAGTTTCGATATATTTGTACAAAGGCCAGATTTGTTTCTGGTTTATAAACAAATATATAAAATTGAACATAAACATATTCCTAATCTTAATTGAAGTATTTCGGCATAGCCATAGGTGCTTAAATATGTTGATAATAAAAACTCCATAAGCATTTACAAATTTTTATTGCAGTAAATAAATAGGCGAAACGCCAAGYACCATTAATTTGTGAAAGGTGTTTTTTATAGAAACCAGAAACATTTGCTCAAGCAAAATCATGTTATGAATCAGAAATTCAGAACTTAAACACATTCCTAATTCAAAGTAAAATAACAACTTCATTAATTCAGTACAATTACCAATACAGATACATGTTACGTACTCACTCGTACCTTTAAATGCTGGAACATATGGTTATTAATTCCAGTATGAAAAGGTGTATGTTGTAGAACCTTTACAACCGTTTTACGAGAAGGTAAAAATTGTAGACAAGAATCGGTAACCCTTTCCGCTTTGCTGGAATATTGACAAAGCAAAAATTTTACCCGAGCAAAAACTTTAGTGAAAACCTTCTACCGCGCGGTTTCAACTTTTGATTTTTATTTTGGGACAAAATAAAGTTTCTTGTGTACTCATTCACATTTTTTAAATTTTACAAAAGAGCGGACTGCGAATTTTTAAAGTCAGCTTTTATCTTTTTATTTCTCACCTCTTGGCGATGTACCGATTTCTTCAATTTTTTTAAGTCATACAAAATTTTATGCGAGGCGACAAATGCTTCTGCTGTGTAATTCCCACTGCTGTCAAATTCAGTCTCCTTACACCTAAAAAGAAAAAAATATGTTACTACATTGAAGAATTATATATTATTAGTAGGATAATATGTACTTACTCGAAACTGTGGCACTTGCAGCAATCGTACTGGTGACAGCAGTAAAGGGGCTGTCACCGGGAAGAATATCATATATGCACATAAATACAAATTATTAAAATACTTTCATTTTAATACAATCATATATAAATTTCATTTTTTCGGTGTACATAATTCAGATGCCATTCGAGCTGAGTGATTTGAGCTGCTCTCCCTGGAAAGAGTGTCTTTGGAGCCTAAAAATTGATAGGTTGCTAAATTTACATCTCACTTTCTTAAAATTAGTACTTACCCGGAACTGTGGCGATATTTCGGCTATTGGTTGCACCAAGCGTCTTTTGCCAGGATATACCTTGGCTGGCTTAATGACGGACTCCAACGGACTCGTATGGGTCAAAATCGTGTTGGACTCTACCATACAAACACCATCTGTAAGTATAAAACAGGCAATCATGAAGAAAACAAATGTATATAATTTTAAAAACTAAAATACCTTGATTTTTCTCGGGAGTTACACATCCCCTGGCAGATGGTATACTCTCTCGATAGAAGCTATTCTCTATGGAAGGTGCACCTTGGAAACCTTATAAATATATGTAGTATGTAAGATGATTAATTTATGTAGTTATTTTTTAAACAAAACATAGGCTAGTCTTATTTAAACATACCTGGGAGGTATTTTGTTGGGAGACAATTTAGTAAAAATCTACCGTTTGCCTTGAAGCACACAACGTGGAAATGTCTAGAGCACATAAATACACTGCGAAATTTCAATTTTGCCACTAAATCCTCACATCTCGCCCGCCTGATCCAAATGCTTCTCAAATTTTCATTTCTAGGAAGTCGACACCTGAAAATATTGTGGTTTTATTGTGTTATAATTTGAATCCGAAAAATGTGAGACCATGCACCGACCGACACAAGAAACAACGCTTTTCTCTGATACCAGAAAGACGTCTCGCAAAAACTGCAAAGCAGCGTTTTTGATATCAGCACCCACGCTGTAATCGTGGTCATGCCGCCCTCTCGGGGATGTTCAGTTCATTTATGAGTGAGTTGCGTTGTGAACAGCAGTAGGTGGCGCTGACCGCAATAAAAATCTTGGTCTGACCTTGAATATTTCAGTGAGGCCCTCATGACAACCACCGCCTGAGAATATTCCGTTACGGAGACGATGCTGTCTTGACGGCAGAGAGCGAAGATGACCTCCAACGCCTTCTCTACAAATTCAACCTAACAGCACAGAGGCTTACTATGCAAATTTCGATCGCCTCTAACAAATCAAACGAAATTGCGATACTCAAAAGTAATTAAATAAAAGCTACAGTTAGTTTTGTAATTATAATCGAGATAACACCTGCGTTTACAACAACATATTTTATATCATAATATTATGAGTAACTATAGTCGACACGCTGAACAGATGCAGTAATAAAAGTGCGTGCACAGAGCGTGTCCAAGCATCAGCGGTTTGGGGTACTCACGTTTGGAATGGGGGATCAAAATTCATGGTATTTCAGTAAATGGGAGCCCCATTTGGGCCCCATTTACTGTCAAATATGACACTGACAAGCGGGAAATTTCGCATCTGGACTGGAGATTTCGAGAACCTTCTGGGTTACCTGGAGGAAACTATATAAGCGACGACGAGAACCATGGGGGAGAGTGAAGTGACAGCCGCGCCTGAGTGCAGAAGAGGTTAAACCCCGCGAGCCGGAAACGAGTGTTTTCCGTTTGTTATTGTTATTGTTTGTGAAGTTGACGTTAATTTAGAAGTTAGTTTGTTCCTGTTCCGTATTTAAAGTTATACCGAAGTGAATAAAAGTTGGAAGCAGAAGAAAGAGTTTGATACTCGGCCATCCACGGTACAATATTTTTAAACCACGCTTCAAAAACCTGGGCATTCATCTCCTCGTGATAATTATTTGTTTGTTTTGATTCAAAAACCAATTCACCGCCTAGAACAAACCCATTTTCTAAACCGATATGTACCTACAACAATTAAGCGTTTGCCTTTTCCTGATCTAGGTTTCCAATTTTAGGTATAGGGCAGATGACATCAATGGCAAAAAATCCCCAACAAGAGTAAAGTTCCACAGTTTTGGAAAAATTCAAACTTTCAGAGTTTCAAACTAATCGATCGATAGTAGATCGATAATATACGAAAACACGTGCCAATAGTGCTTTTCGTTTCTAAGCTATTCTACATTCAATGTTTCACTTTACATGAGATCTTATGGGAGCGACATTTTTATTTTGCTTTTTAAATGTCAGAAACACGGAATAATGTCAAACCGTTTTATAGACGTTCTTTGTATCTTCAAAACAATCGATTAAGGAAGAAAAACGGTTACATGGGCTCTTATCGGAAAAAGACAAAATTTTGAATTTGACGTACCATCGAGCTACCTGAAGTTTATCCGAGGTTAATGAGGTTTTAGGACCGTATAGCCCCATTATTTCGCTATAATCTGGTGTCAACATTTTCACAATCCATGCATAAATAACCGTTTTATTTTGCCGACCATTTTATGCAAAAGTGTCCAGCTGGATCCGTTAACGGAGAAGCTGAGGTAAGTCAGGCCGACGGTGGCGATTTTTTATTTGACTTTTTAGCCCCATGGTTTAAATTTTTGAAATGTAGGAAATTCTCTTCTCCGCCATGCATGAGTGTCAAATTTGACAGAAATTGCTATGGAAACCGGTTTTGGAGCCATTTATAGCAAATTTATAGTCGAAATGGGCTAAAATTACATAGGGCTATTTGGGTATCTTTGTCGTTCTATACAAAATGTTTACCAAATTTTTACATGTTGTATATCTTGATAACGGCTGATCGTAGAACAACCAAATTTGGTGTGCACAATGTCAAGATCGATTTCCATGATCAAGCTTGGTTGCCATGGCAACCGTTACCTTGCCGCCAAATCAGGCAACTGATCGCATCGTTACAAAACTGATCGCAATCGATGGGGAGGATCAAAGTGATGGAGACAAGTCCTTTAGCAACGGTGTCAACAATCTGGTTGCCATGGTAACCGAAATTTTTTCTTCGATTTGCTTTCGCATTTACAACTTTGCTTCGTTTCGTATCGGACCATTACCATCGTGTTAGGTACTTTGTTGTGGTCAAATCATGTAATGACCATAACCTCACTCAAACTCATCGTTTGTCTGATAAAAATTCGAAAAGCATTCGATGCAAAATCGACATTTTGACATTCCTTAATTGATAGCATCGTAACCGAAAGATCAATCGATTTGAAAGTTAATAATAAAAATTGACTGAAAGAGAACTTGGTATGGTTGGTCAATCTAAAGGAACCAAACTCAAAACTCAAAGAATTTGATTACACAATAATTTATAAAAGTGGAAAACAAAACACTAATGCTGACGCTCTTCCTCATATCACTCTAAATTATCATTATTATATTATAAACTCAGAAACCAATTCAACCCAAAACCATCCAGGTGACATCGATATCGATATTGATAAATTTCTAGAAGAAACAACTAGTCAATTCAATCCAGACGATCTAAAAAACGAAAATACTAGCCAAATTATTGAAGAACTAGAAAAACCATTTAAATTAAATTAAATATAATTTCAAATGTTCAAATAAAACTACCGTACAATTCTACAATACAAGTCTTTGGGACAAACCATTCATAGTCTTAATGCAAGCGAAACTCTTCTGCCCTTCGTCTTTAGTACATATGTCTTAGCCTAGCTTATTCTAAAATTAATTCCTATTCCTAGCACTCGTATAAATTAATCAGCTATAAAAAAATTAAAAATAAAAATTCTTGGCTTACAAAACAAACAGATCTTAGTCCTTAGTTCAGTTGCGTTTGTAGGTGTTCTAGTAAAGTATCTGTTGGGGAACGAAAATGGGAGTGTTTTGTCGGTCTTGTGAGGCAAAGGGGATTCAGTATAGTCCAGTTGTGGGGGTTGTTTGTCCATTTTGTCTCTAAGTGTATTAGTCTTTCCGAAATTTTTGTCATGTTTGTGCGTTCGTATAGTAGTTGGTTGGACGGGTTGTGCAGTAGGTTTTGGGGGAGTCTTATTCGTGTTATTAGTCTTAGTGCAATTTGTTATGTTGTTTATACGTATCGTTTTGTCCTTTCTGTTCCGTTGGCCATGAGTATATGTCCGTAGTCCAAGAGGTGTCTGCAGATCGCTTTGTATATTTTTGTCGCGGTATTTGTACTAATTCCTATGTCCTTGTATGTTAGTGATCGAAAGTGTTTTGTTCTTTTTATCATTTCTGTTCTGATGTTTCGTGTGTGTTTAGTGAATTTCAGTTTGTGGTCGA